TTAGACAAACCTTTATACAAACTAATGAAAAAGCAGACAGAGAACATGCAAATTAGCAAAATCAGACATGGAAAGGGGAATATAACAACGGACACAGAGGAAATCCAGAAAATTTTCAGGTCATACTTTGAAAACCTGTATTCCACAAAAATTGAAAATTCAAAGGAAATGGACAAATTTCTGGATAACTATCACTTACCAAAATTAAATCAAGAACAGACAAACAAATAGACCTATAACCCGCAATAAAATAGAAGCAGTCATCTAAAGCCTTCCAACCAAAAAAAAGTCCAGGGCCAGATGACTTCAGTGCAGAATTCTACCAGATATTCAAGGAAGAATTAATACCAATACTCCTCAAATTGTTCCACAAAATAGAAACAGAAGGTTCATTGCCAAACTCTTTTTAATGAGGCCACAAGAATCTTGGTATCCAAGCCTCACAAAGACATAACTAAGAAAGAAAACTACAGACCAATATCCCTGATGAACATCGATGGAAAAATACTCAATAAAATACTGGCAAAACGAATTCAAGAATACATCAGAGAAATCATCCACCATGACCAAGTAGGCTTCATCCCTGAATTGCAGGAATGGTTTAACATAAAATATATCAACGTGATCCACCATATAAACAAACTGAAAAAGATAAACCATATGATCATCTCCCTAGATGCTGAAAAAGCCTTAGACAAAATTCAACACCCTTTCATGATAAAGGTCTTGGAGAGATCAGGGATAACAGGAACATACCTAAACATAATAAGAGCAGTATATACAGCAAACCAACTGCCAACATCAAACTGAATGGAGAGAAACTTAAGTCAATTCCTCTAAAATCAGGAACAAGACAAGGCTGCCCTCTCTCTCCATATCTCCTCAATATCGTACTTGAAGTTCTAGCTAAAGCTATAAGAACAAAAGGAGATCAAGGGGATCCAAATTGGAAAGGAAGAAGTCAAACTGTCTATTTGCAGATGATATGATAGTTTAACATAAGCGACCCCAAAAAACTCTACCAGGGAACTCCTACAGCTGATAAACACCTTCAGCAAGCTAACAGGATACAAGATAAACTTAAAAAAAAAAAAAAAAAAATCATTGCCCTACTTTTTTCAGATGACAAAGAGGCAGAGAAAGAAATCAGAGAAACATCACCCTTTACAATAGCCACAAGCAACATAAAGTATCTTGGTGTAACACTTACCAAACAAGTAAAAGACCTATATAGTAAGAACTTTGTGGCTCTAAAGAAAGACATTAAAGAAGATAGCAGAAAATGGAAAGATCTCTCATGCTCCTGGATAGGTAGGATAAACATAGTAAAAATGGCAATTTTTGCCAAAAGCAATCTACAGATTCAATGCAATCCCCATTAAAATCCCACCACAAATCTTCACTGACCTGGAAAGGATAATAATCTACTTTATATGGAAAAACAAAAGACCCAGGATAGCCAAAACAACCCTATACAATAACAGAACTTCAGGAGGCATCACCATTCCTGACTTTAAGCTCTACTACAGAGCTATAGTTCTGAAAACAGCCTGGTATTGGCACAAAAATAGACAGGTAGACCAATGGAATCGGATTGAAAATCCTGATATTAACCCAAACACCTATGAACACCTGATTTTCGACAAAAGAGCTAAAATTATACAATGGGGCAAGGACAGCAACTTCAACAAATGGTGCTGGCACAATTGGATGAGGGTGTGTAGAAGACTGCAGATAGAACCATGTCTGTCGCCATGCACAAAACTCAAGTCCAAATGGATCAAAGACCTCAACATCAATCCAACCATATTGAACCTCTTAGAAGAGATAGTAGGAGATACCCTTGAACAAATTGGTATAGGAGACCACTTCCTGAACATAACTCCAGGGGCACAGACACTGAGAGAAACAATTAATAAATGGGACCTCTTCAAACTTAGAAGCTTCTGTAAGGCAAAGGACACAGTCGACAAGAACAAACTCAGCCCACAGACTGGGAAAAGATTTTCACCAATCCTATATCCGACAAAGGGCTGATCTCCAAAATATACAAAGAACTCAAGAAACTAGTCAACAAAACAACAAATAACCCTATTAAAAAATGGGGTACAGAACTGAAGAATTCTCAATAGAGGAAATCAAAAAGGCTGAAAGACACTTAAGAAAGTGCTCAGCATCCTTAGCTATCAGGGAAATGCAAATCAAAACAACTTTGAGATACCATCTTACTCCTGCCTACCAGAATGGCTAAAAGTAGAAACACCAATGACAACTTATGCTGGAAAGGATGTGGAGAAAGGGGAACACTCCTCCACTGCTGGTGGGAGTGCAAACTCGTACAGCCATTTTGGAGATCAGTATGGCGGTTCCTCAGGAAAATGGGAATTAGTTTATCACAGGACCTGGCAATCCCCCTCTTAGGCCTATACCCAAATGATCCACATCCATGCAACAAAGACATCTGTTCAACTATGTTCATAGCAGCACTATTTGTAATAGCAAGAACCTGGAAGCAACCTAGATGCCCCTCAATTGAAGAATGGATAAAGAAGATGTGGCACATCTACACAATGGAATACTACTCTGCAGAAAAAAATAATGGTATCTTGAAATTCGCAGGCAAGTGGATGGTGGCACTTGAAGAAACCATCCTGAATGAGGTAACCCAGTCGCAAAAAGAGGAACACAGTATATACTCACTCATATATGGATTTTAGACCTAGATCAAAGGATCACCAGCCTATAGTTCACACCACCAGAGGAACTAGGATACAAGGTGTATTCTAAAAAATTCATATAAAGTCCCTCACAGAAGCGGGAAGGGACAAGTCCCCCAGAGCACACGGGAAGTGTGTGTGTGTGGGGGGGGAAGCAGTGAATGGAGAGAGAAGTAGGAGAAAGAGAGGGGAGGAGAGGAAAACACGTGTGACTAGGAAGATTGAGTCTGGGTAGCAATAGAAGACAGGAGAGAGAGACAGAGAGAGAGAGACAGAAAGAGAGAGAGAAAGAACATAAAAGAGGGAGTCAATATTGGTTTGAAGAGAAAATTGAACCCAAAGAAAAGTCTAGAGACCTACAAGACTGCCACCAACTAACAATTTGAGCTTCCGTGGAAAGGCTACCATAAATGCCCTTACTGGATAGTGAGATCAACAACTAACTTATCCATGGAGCCCTCATCTAATACCTGTTGGAAACAGAAGCAAACACCCATACATAAACACTGAGTCGAACTAGAACCCAGATGCTGATGGAGAGGACAAGACCAGGCTGCAGAAACACATAGAGACAGCTGACCTAAACAAGGAGAAGCTAACGCTCCCCCCCCCCCACTAATAGCTGGGAATCCAGCATGGGACTGACTCAGGCCCCCCTGAAAATGGGTCTCAGCCAGAAGGACTGAGCAGTCTAAGGGACCTCAGACAGTGGAACCAGGATGTATCCCTGATGCACAAAAGGACCTTGCGAACACATCCCCCATGGAGGGATAACTGCCTTAACCTAGAGACAGGAGAGAAGCCCTAGTCCCTACTTCAAATGACCTGTCAGATCTACATGACCCCAACTGGATGGCATTGCCCTATATATGGAATTGGGATGGGGGGATGGGAGGGGAGGGTGGTTAGGGTCATGTGAGAGGGCAGAGAGGGTAAATGGGAGGGAGGGGCAACTGGGATCGACATGTAAAATAATAAATTAAAAAAAAAAGAAATTTTATTTTATATTTATGAGTATTTTTCCTGCATATACTATACACATTACATGTGTACTATTCTTAAATTTTATTTAAAAAAATTTTTTTTGTCTTTTGCTCAGAAGATTCAATAATTTTACTTTATAAAATGAACTGGTAATAGAGAAAGAGGGGAAAAAAGCATACAAATTATTAATGGGCATACATTGGAGCCATACACAAAAAGTAAAAATATTCAAAAGAACAACCATATGGTTGACCTTAAAATAGCATTGTATCCTACAGAATGATGGTCCTGAAGTTTCTGAAGATGATGACAGCAAGCAGACTATGGGAGGCTAAGGAGACTACAGTAAGGCAAGCAAGACTGTCCTATTAAGCTGACAAGTCTTCCAAGGACAGCATCTCAGAGTCATTCCTGTCTAGAGAATAACTAACACAAATCTTGCCAGAAGATATATTTAGGGTGGTATATTTTTATCATCCTAAATTATTATCTTGGTAAAATATCTGGAATTTTGTCCTTGGTTGCAAGCAATCTCCAGAAATGCTACAATGGTAAATGATAAGAGTCTTTTTTATTTACCTCAAACATCTTTCAACCACACCTGAGTGTTTTGAGGAAAGAACCTGGACAATCACAGGATTGGAGGGAAGAATGGTTCTCAGGGAAACTAATCCTGAACCAGAGAATTGGAACTGGCATTACACCGCCAACTCTTATCTTGGGAGAAGGGAAAGCAGGTGTAGGTGAAGTTAATCACCAACAACCAATAACTTACTAATCACCTTATGTAACAAATAACAACCCCAAAGGACTGGGGACAGTGAGGAAGGTGAGAACAAACATCCAATGGCCAAAAAACTGATATACCTTAATTCTACAAGGACCAAATCTCCTCTACCAAACAGGGTTCTAGGGCTTGGTCTATGTATATATTTTAACTGTATCATTTACAATAAAATCATAAATGGGTTCCACTTAATACTTATTACACCCAAGGAAAGGAATGGAGGATCCTAATTATATAGTTAATGAAAGTACAAGCTAGAGCTTTAAACTGGAATCTCAAAATGGGAGGCATTCTTATGGAACTGGGCCAAAGTGACATTATCTCTAGGTAGTTTTGAAATGGAGTTGAATAAGAGGACACCAAGTGATGTAAGCTGCAAAAAGTCATTGCTTGCATAATGCATGTGGTATAAAAAGCAGCCTGAGAAGCACGGTTTATTTTCCTACTTAGTAAATTCCTTATTTCTTTACATTTTTTACTCATACATCACTGACATCAAGCCTTTAACTCACAAAATATACTGCTCCAAAGCTCCCATGGCCGATTTCTCTGAGATCTGTGAAGAGCTTTTCCGGGTCTTCTTTGAAGAAGAGCTCTGCAATTTCAGGGTCCTTTAGACTGCCTGCTCTGTTAGTTGATGGCATCCTGCTGAGCAGTCAGCTGTCTGATTCTAATTTTACACTGCTATCCCAATGCTTGGTTCATCTGTATGAATGAAGCCACGCTGGCATAAACTAGGAAAAGAAAGAAGAAAAAGAAAAAAAAAAAAAAAGAAAAGTTAAAAGTTGCTAAGAATAATTAAAAGATCATTTGCAGTCATTATCTACAAAATTCTATCAGAATGTTAGGGAACAGTATAGTCTTTTATTGCATTAGATCCTAAGCTTATCACAATCATCTGTAGCACTTTAATAGCAAAGAATTCCATAACACAATCCATTTCAATATTAGGTACATCTTTAAATCATGAGAGGCTTTCTACTACTTAAACTGTCCAATTCTGACATAGCTAGAAGAGACAGTTAACAGACTATTAAAAACATACATAATAATCCACCAAATGTAGTAGCAGATGCCTTTAATCCCAGCACTTGGAGGATAGTAGCAGGAAGATCTCTGTGAGTTCCAGGAAATTTACTGCTCTTCCAGAGGACCTGCACTGATTACTAGCACCAACACTGGGCAACTTACAACTGCCTTAATTCCATCTTCGGGGACCTGATGATCTCTTTTAGTTTGAACACACATGTATGAACATACATGTACACAAACACACACACTCAATTTTAAAAAGTTAACAAAATAAAATTTAACAGCCCCATTTTAAAAAGTAACAAAATAGAGCTGGGCAATGGTATGCACACATTTAGTCCTACCATTCAGGAGACAGAGGCAGTCAGATCTCTAGGAGTTCAAGGCCAGCCTGGTCTACAAAGCTCCAGAGAAACCCTGTCTTGAAAAGGAAGGAAGGGAGAGAGGGAGAGAGGGAGGGAAGGAGGAAGTTGTCCTCTGACTGTCATGTGTGCCATAGCAAGCACATGCTCACACTCAAGAGTGTTTCTAACTCCTGTCTGTCTGTCGCTCTCCCACACAAATTAAAAAGAAAAATACAGAATAAGAAAGTCTGAATTTAACAACTGGTTTTTAATAAACTTAATTCATATGATTAACACATTAAAGTATAGCTGTTATCATCTGATTCCTTCCATAGGTAAACTTAGAAAGAACCAGTAGATTCTTTAGTGGTTCTGATATCAATTCCTTTATATGAGATTACAGAATGCTTAAAAATGGCTGTCATAATTGAGAGGTTTAAGGACCTGGGTTCTGGTTGTACATTGGTGGCGCACACCTTTAGTTCAAGCACTCAAGAGGCAGAAGCAGGTGGATCTCTATGAGTTTGAGGCCAGCCTGGTCTACAGAGAGAGTTCCAGGACAGGTTCCATAACAATACAGAGAAACCCTATCTTGAATAAAGCAAGCAAACAAACAAACAAAGACAGGACCTGGGTTCTGGAATAAAACTGGCTGGATATAAATCCTAACACTATTCATTAACTGTAAATACATAAACAATCTCTGTTATTTTAAAGTATAAAAAGAAAGATAATTTATCCAGTAATGATGAGGGTTAAATGAGTTACCATGCATAAGCTCAGACTACTACTATACCATAGTAAGCACTATTAAAAATGTCAGGATTTTTTTTTTAAAATCACTTAATTTCAGGAATTAAAATTGGAATGTATTGCATTAGACTTCTGGGGGGGGGGGACTGCTATCCAATTCTTCCCATGCCCTCTATATGACTACTAGGCTGATCTCATTTTAGTGAAATAATAGAACCAATTAAAACATTTAATTTCTAAATTGTATGTGTGTGCCTGCTGTATTTATGTGACCACATGCATTCCTAGTGCCCATAGAGATCAGAACAAGGCATCTGATCCCCTAGAACTTGAGTTGTGGAAGATTGTGAGACACCACACTGGGAATCAAACCTGCATCCTCTAAAAGGCAGTAAGTACTCTAAAACATTGAGCCATCTCTCCAGCCCCAAAAGAACCAACTTTAACTCTTGCCAGAAAAGACATGTCTTTTGTATCTCACCGTAGCAACATAACACTGTAATAAAAAGGTGTGTGTGTGTGTGTAGAAAGTGTGTTAACTTGAGCCTGTTTTTTCTTATATATATAAGATATATATATATGCATATATGCATATACATATGGCTTCCAAATATGTATCTACCTTCCAAATATGTATCCACAAATGTATGTACTACTTACATTTTTTTTTTTAGTTTTATTATTAATATATGTGAGATGTGTGTAAGAGTACAAGCAGGCAGGCAGCCATGTGCTACAGACAGTATTGAAATCAGAGGACAACTTCAAGGATCAATTTTCTCCTTCAAGCATGGGCACCAAGGATCAAAGTTGTCAGGGTTCTCTCTCTCTCTCTCTCTCTCTCTCTCTCTCTCTCTCTCTCTCTCTCTCTCTCTCTCACACACACACACACACACACACACACACACGTGTTTTTGTTTGAGACTGGCAAAATGGCTTAACAGGTAAAAACACTTGCTGCCAAATCTGACAACCTGAGTTCAATCCATAGGACCCAATTGGTGGAGGGAGAGAATCAACTCCCAGAAATTATTCTTAGACTTCCATATGTGTGCCACAATAGGTGCCTACATCCCACCTTTCAAATAAATACATATTTAAAAAGACTCAAAACTAGAGTGTTAGCATTATTTAGAAATTACTTCAACATGCCAGTGGGGGAGGGAGACAGTGAGATGGCTCAGCATATAAAACCAATAGCTGGACAAGACTGACATTCTGAGTTCAATCCCCAGGATCCAGATAAAAGTAGAAGCAGGGTGGTAGTGGTGCGCTTCTTTAGTGCCTTAACTGAAGAGCAGAGGCAAGTGGATCTCTGTGAGTTCAAGGTCAGCCTGGTCTATAAAGTGAGTTCCAGGCCAGCCAGAGCTATTATACAGAGAAAACCCATCTTAAAAAAAACAAGAACTTAAAATATCAATTTATATCTTTATGTTTATTCAATACATACATAAAATTATATATCTTGTGGTGCCTAGCCCTGCAGAAGCAGGTGGATCTCTGAGTTCAGCCTGGTCTACAGAGTGAGTTCCAGGATAACCAGGGCTGTTAAACAGTCTCAAAAAAACAAGGGGGGGGGGGAGAAGAGAGAGAAGGAGGGAGGGAGGGAGGGAGGGAGGGAGGGAGGGAGGGAGACAGGCAGGCAGGCAGGCAGGCAGGCACAGTGCATTCCTGAGAGCCTGGGCCCACTCTTGATCAGTCTGCTCAGTCTCACTGTGTGCCTTCTTCCCTCCTTTCACTTTTACCAAAGTACCTGCTTAAATCTGTATTAAAACCTTTTCTTTACACTCCAACCTTGAACTGTTTTAAACTAAATCTCAATCTTTTAAAATGTTACAAGAGAGCTAGGAAACAGTGCACTATATATACCTGGTATAGTTCCTCCACCCCTTCTTTTTCCCTCTTATGTTTGAAAAATTACAAAATTATGTGATTTAAATTTAGGCTTAACTAATTTCCCAAATCAACTTCACATTTACTAGTACAAGTTTAATGTGGTTTAAAATGCCATTACTTAATGCTAAAATTTATCATTTTACCAAATATGAAATTATTTACAATAAGACTATAGAGCCAACACACTCCTGTAATTCTAGCACTCAGGAACTAGAAGCTGGAAGATCAGAAAGGAATTCAAGGTCATCTTCGGCTATACACTGAAGTCAGCCTGGGCTACATGATACTGTTTGCTTGTTTGTTTGTTTGCTTGCTTGCTTGCTTTTTGAGACAGGGTTTTTCTGTATTGCTTTGGAACCTGTCCTGGAACTAGCTCTGTAGACCAGCCAGGCTGGCTTCGAACTCACAGAGATCTGCCTGCCTCTGCCTCCTGAGTGCTGGGATTAAAGGTGAGTGCCACCAATGTCCAGATATGATACTCTATCTTAAAATTAAAATCCTATATTATGTTTTCATTTCTATATTTAAAATATATGGGGTTGTTTATTCAATTGTGGGCTCTTTGACAGGCCTTATGTAGTCAAGGCTGGTCTAGAACTCCTGCCTCCCCAAAGTTAGGGTTACAGGAATGTGCCATCACACTTGGCAGAATATTAGGAAGTGGGAGGCTGAGACTAAATCTCACTTTGTACTCCTAGCTGATATGGAACTTGCTTTGTTTATAGACCAGGCTGGTTTTGAAGTTGAACTCTGAGGTTAATGGTAGTGTATTCTTTTTGTTATTTTGTTATTGTTTTTGTTTTGATGTTAAATGGGAAAAAAGACCTGTTTTTGAGATATATATGAGAGAAAGAAAGAAATGGAGGAGCTGTTTCTGTTTTACATTTGCCTCCAGGGAAAGGTTATAGCTTCTGAAAAATCAAGGGTAGATTTTTATTACCCTTTAGTTAAATGTACAACCTCCAGAACTGCTTGAGACAGAATGCTTCTGTTTACTAGCTGTGTAAATGGGTCTCACGAATTACTGCTAACTGGTATTCTATGACATGGTTATAATAAAGGTACTTTTCTAGAAAAATCATACATCATTATTATCTGCTGCTGATAAACTAGAAAGATAAGCATTCTAAATCATACTATCCTAGTTAATAGTGGTTAAATAGCACAGTTAAGACAATAGCCTCCCATCTTCTATTATTCAACATTGTCTAAAAGTACTAGCTTTGTTAACAATTTATCATAATACATAAAGCAATCCTACAAGCCATAAACCAAAAAAAGTTAGGTTCCATGAATGGGCATTTCATAGAAGAATTAATTATAAATAATCAGTAAACTGGAAAAAAAATGCTTGTTGAAGCCAGAGCTTCATATGAGATCCTGTCTAATATAAATAAACAAAAAGTTGAGCAAAGATTAATACAAGGTATATTCAAAGGAGAAAGTCAATTATTTAAGAAAGAAAGAAAGAAAGAAAGAAAGAAAGAAAGAAAGAAAGAAAGAAAGGGACCTCAGCAGCTCCCTGAGACACAGACCATAACTGCACAAGAGCACCAAGAGAACCTTCATCCAGCAACTGATGGAAGCAGATGCAGAGATCCACAGCTAAGCACTAGGCCAAGCTCCCAGAATCTAGTCAAAGAGAGGGAGGAGCAATAATATGAGCAAAGGGGTCAAGACCATTGTGGGGAAACAGTTGACCTGAACTA